TTATATCAATATAAATGCCAATTTCAAATATGAAGAATCTACCAGTATAAAGAACCTAGAAATTAATTACTAGTAAAAAATAACAATCATTAATAATTTTCAAATTTAAATTTTTAAATATACGCTAAGTAGTATTCAATAAAAGAAAAGATGATTATTCACATTACTTAAATAGCAGAAACAAACTAGTTGGTATTGGTATTTGCCTTAAGGCAAGTTACTTGAACTTCCCGATATGTGTAAATGATTGACTTAATCAATGAAAAATAAATTAATTTATGAGTTGTTAAAAGTATTCCAAGTGAATTTATTACACATAATTGAAAACAAACGATCACGTTATTTCAGAGTATTTTCTAAAAGCAAATTTTCAAAAATCTATAATTTTTATAATTGAACCAGTTTCCGTATGACTTTAATGGTTTCGTATGTTCATTAAGACCAAGTACTCTATTGTTACACCCAAGTAAACCGTCTAATATTAATTTTAACAAAGGACAAAAAACTACTCATTTTCTCAAACTTTGATAAATTTTTATAAACTACTTGTCGTAAGGCCGTAATATTTCAGTAAGTTCTATAAGACCATGATATATATCGCCAAAAAAAGTTCCATTAAAATCGGCTTAAACTTTTTTTTCAACAGTTAATTACAAGAAAACGGCTCGGTAGATTTTCACCTAAAACTAATCAGTATCATTCCCAACTAATATCTTTCGAACAGTTTTTGATTTTTTAAAATAGATTCGGTAGTATGAGCTTAAATATGGACAAAAAGTTTAACACTTTTTTCCGAATTACATAGAAACGGCTCTGCCGATCGATGCGCAAAAATGCGAAAAGATAATCCACATCGAAATACATCGAGTAGCATTTAAATGTTTGAAATCGGTTCAGGCTTTTTGAGCAAACGTCGATGAAAGTTCTAATTTTAACAAACGTCAAAAAAACGATACTAATTTTTGCAAACTTTGTCGAATTTTTAAAATTAAACGACTGGTCGTAGGGCCGTAATATTTTAGTATGATCTATAAAACTATGACATCTACCGTCAAAAAATCGGGAATTTAATAAACACATTTTCAAGACAAGTGCTAAAAATCTCCTTCGTTAGCTGAACGATAATTTTACCACTTCGGTCTTCTGGATAATCTTTCAAGTATCCGTTGAATTATAAATTATTAACAGATTTATTATGAAATTGGCATAGTGCACGACTTTCTAATTTATAATAAAGGCATCACAGAGACTTAATTTGACAAAAATAAAGCTCTTTCTATTAATAGTTTGTTCACGAAAAGCCTCGTCTCATATCAAACGTAGTAACCAAAAATGAATAGCCTATTTCACAAAAAGACTTGCGACTAATATCAATAGATAAAAAGTAATCCAGAACACTCAAATAAGTATAAGTATGTAAAACCACAAGTAATATTTTAAAATAATTCTTATTACAGGCTGTCTTATCTCTCTACGCCTCTGGTCGTACAACCGGTGTCGTATTAGATTCAGGAGATGGTGTATCACACACAGTACCAATATATGAAGGCTACGCTTTGCCGCACGCGATTCTCCGATTGGATCTGGCCGGACGTGATCTGACTGATTACCTGATGAAGGTACTCACAGAACGTGGATACACATTCACAACCACAGCAGAAAGAGAAATTGTGCGTGATGTTAAAGAAAAATTGTGCTACGTCGCCCTCGATTTCGAACAAGAGATGGCTACGGCGGCTAATTCCAGCTCGCTGGAGAAATCGTACGAACTTCCCGACGGACAGGTAATAATATGTAGATGAAACAAAAACATGGACATAGTCCTAGACGAGCGCGCGTTTTTTAATTAAAAACATATTTTGGTCGTAAATCAATTTCATTTTATACTTGATTCAAAATATGAGACATAAGTTATAATCAAATCAAACTTCACTGACCTTTTCCTACAGGTGATCAGCATCGGCAACGAACGATTCCGTTGTCCAGAAGCTCTCTTCCAGCCTTCCTTTTTGGGGATGGAAGCTAGTGGAGTTCATGAAACTACATATAATTCCATAATGCGATGCGACGTCGATATCCGTAAAGATCTTTATGCAAATACTGTACTGTCTGGTGGAACCACTATGTACCCAGGTATTGCAGATAGGATGCAAAAAGAAATCACCGCTTTGGCGCCATCTACAATGAAAATCAAAATAATCGCACCACCTGAGCGCAAATACTCAGTATGGATTGGTGGTTCCATTCTTGCTTCACTGTCGACCTTCCAGCAGATGTGGATTTCAAAACAAGAATATGAGGAATCAGGTCCCGCAATAGTCCATAGGAAATGTTTCTAAATACTGTGATGGTCATCTTTAGGCAATTCAAAGCAGTTGTACTAACAGTTTGTGGAGTGCCTAAATTTTCTGATATGTTTTTCAATCATGAGGCTACTAGAAAAGTTCAAAAATCTTTTTGGTTAGCTCATACTTCCATAATAATTCCGACTATACTTTAGAACAAAATATTTAGTTAGCTAGTCATACTTTTTTTTATAAAAACGTGTATTCTTCGGATTAAAACTATCATAATTATATAATTTAATATTTTAATTTTGAACATTTATAGTTTCTGTTATAAAACTGAAACTACTAATGTTGATCTAATTCAAAGGCCAATTGCACTAGCATTGAAGTCGCACTTAACCATTACACACAAAGAAAATTTAAAAACATCAAATACACGTTATTAAATTTAATCAAACTATAAACATAGAAATATGTGCGTTTAAATATACTTCTACTTCAAGCTTTGCTGTCTATAGTGTTCTTTATAGGCAAGTCCTTTCAGTACTTTTAAGTATTTATAAAAGGTTAATAGTACCACTCCAGTATCTTTGAGGGCATTTCCAATTAATAAATGCTCTTATTGTATAAAATATAATCTACAAAGTTATGTGAATAATATTTATAAAATATGTGTGTTATTTTCTGTTACAATAAATTATTTATTTACTAAATTATGTGTAATTATTCTGATATTTTCTCAGTTTGAATCTTATTCTTCAACATTAATTGGCTATTTTCAGTAAAATGTTCGAGTATTCATACACGTAGAAATACATATATGTACTAAAAAACATATATGCAAAAGTACGCATACAAATAAAACAAGTGAATTCTTATTAATCATTCTTTATTAATTACATATAATTTAGATCATTCTTTTATAAATCCGAGCTCAGGAAAATGATAATATAACTGATAATTCATAGTAAGAGCACATTCCAAGTATCATTTGATACCTATATTTACAAAGTATTTTAACAAAACATAAATTATAAGATAAATCTTTTAAAAGTCTTTAGATCTCATGTAAAACATGAATAAAAAGAACATATTTAGTAGTATGAAGTTTTTGTACTAGATTAATTTTTGAAACATTCAACGGAAGGCTCCTAATTTACAGTCTATGCAAAATGTAAGGATATCTAACTATTTTTACAAGTAGCCTTATTTAAAATGAGACCGTTCATAAATTCTTAGAATATATTCTAAAGTAACTTCTAAATTGATCACAAAACTATATGTTAGCTATATCCATAACTATTTTTTTATATAGATTTGCTTCTTTTGTATTTTCATATAATTAATTACATACATTTAATTTATGTATATACTTTTGCTATTGCAATCAAAAATTTTATGTGCTAAATTATTGTTATATCACATTCACATTACACATAATAAAAGATAATTAAAATTATGAAAAAATTCAATAGATAATCATACATATTTTTTGATCAGAAAATTTTTGATAAACAGTATCTAATTATTTTTATTTGATTTATTTAATAACTAAACAAACATGCAATTGTGCAATTTGTAGGTCAGTTGTTATATTATTGGTTGATAATCTATTTTGTATATAAATATTATATATATATATATATATATATATATAATATGTATATATATATAGATATGTATATATGTATATAATCAACATTATATTACATATATGTCTATACAAATAGTTACAACATATGCACTTATGTGTCATCATTAGATCATTTTAAATCTTATACATTTCTTATAATTCATAATCATTACATAAAATCGAAATTTATAAAAATGTACTTTGTAAGTTTTTCTTAAAAAAAAAACAGATTGTAATAAAATATAGAAAAACAGATTGAGATAAAGATTTATGTATAAACTAGATTTTCATAATACGTATGATTTCTGCAGGACATTTTACATACTTCTTATTGCTACATAGTTTACAAAATTTCAGTGTACACAGCACTTTGCAATCACTGATAACCAACATTAAATTTTATTATGTTACCTTTGGGCATATAGTTTAAAAATTGTCATATAAAAATATTGCTTTGAAAAGTTTATAATTGTGCCCAATTAGAAATTGCATTTATGCTCTACAACAATAATTAAATTTCTTGACTATAGACAAACGTGTACACTGATGTTAAAATGCCACTAGAACAATTAATAAAGAAGCCATGGAAATCATTAACTATCTGCTTGTATCTATGAATATTGCATAGAAAATTCCATTTTCAAACCGAATTGAAGTTTTTATTTACTTATACAACAAAAAGAAATCTTTGGAAATTGTAAAACAAAATCTTACAAGAAACATGTCAATTTTAATAAAAATTTGATTTCATTATATTTCATTAATAAATTAAATGCTATGATTTAAATATCAATTATAATTAATATTATATATGTAGGAGTGATCATTAATAACCCTTTTGAAATAAATTTAAATTTGGCTGGTATTTCTATTATCAATTTAACATATTTTCTTGTAGATATATACAGTATTTTAAAAAATAGTTTGTTCAATCAATATTTTATTAAATTACTTTAAATGATTGAAATATGATACATCAAAAGTTATTTTCTTAAAATATTTTTAAATTTATATTATACAATATTTAACAAATTTTAATAATATATTTTAACTATTCACATTATAAAAGATACCGATCACTTAAAATAAAAATATAGAGGTTTATACTTACTGATAATTCCTTGCATTACTTGTAATTATTGGGTTTCCAAAATCTCAATGTTTTTTAAACATTTTACTAGATCATATAGAATCCGCATTACGCTAATGATTTTGTGCGACTGGTGGCAAAATAAACAAAGAAAAAAATTAATTTTCTTCTAAAATAAATACTTAGTTTCAAATGTGATTTCAATGCCATTAATTATAAATAATAATTTAACAAAAACTGGCTTAATATTACAAAATACTTTTCCATAGATTTATATAATAATCGGTATAAACAAATAGATATAATAAAATGAGCTTGTTATTGTTAGGATACTATTGTGTAATAGTATATAGAATAATTTACAGAAAAAAACACAATGCTCTAAAATGCCTGCACAAAAATTCAGAATATTTATTTCAATAATTGCAAGCTACTGAAATTATGAGATTATTAGAGGTTGAACTTTAATATTTCATAGAAAACAACCCCCAGAATTTAACTCTTCCTATTTAATTGATAAATCATTTGTTATTAATAAAGTAATAAAAATAAAACGTTTAAGTAAAACTTGTTTCCAATAGATCATTAATCAAATTATTTATATTGAAAATCTAAAATTCATTCAAAATTCAAAATCTTACCTTTTGATGCGTTGCCTTCTTTGTCGTCGATGTCTATTAGCTGTTTGTGATGACCTTCTCGATTCTGTTCCTCCAGGTGATCTTGCTGTAGATCGAGTACTCCAAGGTAGAGAAAACTCTCTGCAAGTATATAAAAATTATATTAATAAATTATAATTTAATTTATTTTTGACGTATGATCTCATAAACAAGATGAACAAACACTACAACACTACATGCACTCAGTACTTAAATAAATTATAATTAAAAAAAAAATAATAATAAAATAATAGTTTCAATATCCACCAATAATGCCTTAAAATATATAACAGTGAGTAAGAAATTAAGAATTCACAGTAATATTTTTTTTTATTCGATTAATAAAATTAACTAATCCAAACATATTTGTATCTTCAAAATATTGACCCATTGCACTTTTTTATCACAATTTTGTTCAGTGATGTTAAAATTACAAAAATTTTGAGACCAAAATTTGCCTCATCATTCGTGTAATTAAAAATAACATACTTCAATTATATAGATGCTTATAAACTCTTGAAATATTGTTTTACACAAGTGGTATAAATAGAATCCGTTTAAAATAACATCGAAGGCAATTGGCAAACACGCCATAATAAGCGGAAAATACACAAGGCGATTTGTAAGAAAACTAGCTGTAAGTGGAATTCTGTCTTGAGGCAATTATGGCATCGTGCCTTAAGGCAAATTGCTGGAACTTCCCGTACCGTAACAAAATGTTCGAAGAATACTGAATGTTTTCAAACAGATTATTATAAATATTGTAACATTGTCTAATATTTATAAGAACTATATAAACTGAATTGCTAAGTTGAAATTATTTGTAAAGTATATTAGAACTATAGTCAGAATTAAAAATAAAATCTGAATTATTTTCGATATACAAATAATTAAAAAAAAAAAAAAAAAAATTGAAACAAAAATTTTTCTTCCAAAATCAATTATTTTGTTAAGACAAGCAGAAAGTTCTTTGAATCATTTAAATCAGACGCTTAGTTCTCTCAAAAACTGCCATTTTTTACATATTTAGCTCCGTATCTCCGAAACGGCTGGACCTGCCTTTACCAAAAACTAATCAGCGCTTTTCCCTATCAATAGGGATCAAATGTTTTTTGAAGCATTCAAATCGGTTGATCCGTGCGCCCGAAAACGTGACTGGAAATTTGTATCCCTACATATATACATACACACACACATCCATTTTTTCTGAGGTATGCCAAAATGTCCAGAAACCTTCAAAACGTCGAGAAATGTAAAAATGTTCAATTCCGATTTTCGGCCCATTACAATAACTTACCCTACGGGAAGTTAATAAACCTTTTTAAACATATAATGCATATATGTTAAGTATTTATATAAGTATGTATGCATGTAAGTATTGCAGTAAATAAACATAGTAACCAAAATGTGCATACAAACATATTAAATTAAAAAAAAAAATAGCATGTAATCAGTACATTGTATAAGCATTTATTTTATGATTATGATTATGATTTTTCCTTTTTAATGAAAACACAGCTTCTAATACTATTGTGTATAACAAACATTCAATTCAATATAAAAATGAACAAATTATTATAAATCGGCCTGTTTTGACTAAAAAATGAGTCATAATAAGCCAACTTTATATCTGACTAGTTTTTATAAAAAAAAATTATCCATAAATTAATCATAATAAACGGTTATGCATTATAGGCAGAGTCATGAAAAACGTATTCTATTGCATGTTCAAATAAAAATAATTTCAGACATAGAATAAAGTGAATCAAAATTTATACCTAGGTTGTAGAAGAGGTAAATTGGCTCCGAGAGCGCACACAGGCAACTGTTCAGTTAGCACTATGAAGCGTGCATCATGCGGATCGGGCCATAGTGATTCCGGCGCTTGGCACCCAACGTCCTCTTCTCCATTCGGTGAAAGTCGACCCCCCGCCGAACCAAAAATCCCGCTACTTGAACCCGACATTGCGCCTCCGACACTTAGTCGAGTGTTACCCGAACGGCTCTGCCGCGACTTCAGGCGCTCGATAGTGCGCTGCTCCCGTATCCTTTGTACATCCCACCTGCAATGATATATAATAAATAATGATATAAATAATGCATATTTTCATAACTATTGATAAATACTATTTATTACATAAATATATTTTTTCTATATTTGATTACCATAGATGTATAAAAAGCAAGGGCAGCATCAATAATGTAGCAGATAAAATTTCAAAATTTGGTAAAAATAATTTGATAAAAAATAGTAAAAGTAGAACTAAAAGCTAAAGTCCTCATAATAATTTATAAGCAGCTTTCTGCAAAAAGTGGTAACAGAAAACATGTCTAACTCATTTCTGCAATATCATGAATGGACAGAAAAAACAATAGTTAAATTAATAAATAACTAGTGGGGCGCATGGCATCGTGCCTTAAGGCAAATTGCTGGAACTTCCCGTAACGTAACGAAATGTTCGAGGAATACTGAATGTTTTCAAATAGATTATTATTAATATTGTAACATTGTAAATAAACTGAATTGGAAATTTAAAATTATTTGTTTAAGTTATTGTGGGAGATTGGTTAGAACTTTAGTCAGAATAAAAATAAAATCTGAATTATTTTCCATATACAAAAAAAACTAAAAAAAAAAAAAATTATACAATTTTTTTTTCCAAAATCAATTATTTTGTTAAAACAAGCAGAAAGTTCTTTGAATCATTTAAATCGGACGCTTAGTTCTCTCAAAAACTGCCATTTTTTACATATTTAGCTTCGTATCTTCGAAATGGCTGGGCCTGCCTTTGCCAAAAACTAATAGACACTTCTCCCATTCATTACTAATTGAATGTTTTTTAGATCATTCAAATCGGATACTCCGTTCTCTCAAAAAGTCGATTTCTATTTTCTGCACTCTTTGCTTCGTATCTCCGAAACGGCTGGACCTGCCTTCGCCAAAAACTAATCAGCTCTTTTCCCTATCAATAGGAATCGAATGTTTTTTGAACCATTCAAATCGGTTGATCCGTGCGCCCGAAAACGTGACTGGAAATTTGGAGAAAAACACAATGCTAAAACAAATTAATAGCATTTCAATTTAGTTATGTGGGACAAACTGTTCGAGATGTAAGCGATTTGACAACAAGCTTGGTTATGGCACAAATTAAACTCGTATGTTGGGGTACGTCTCGTACATAAATCTACGAGATATTTAAGAAACTATATATAATAGAACAATAATCCAATATATATGAAATTTTCAAAATAGTAATATATCAATAAATATTACCTAAAAATAATTAAATAACTAGTAGTGTATGGCATCATGCGTTAAAGCAAATTGCTAAAACATCCTATATCTACTTAAATATATTTTTATAAATACTGTAACTTTTATTATTAGACTTTTATAGATAAAATATAAAAACTTATAAATTGAACAAGGATGTTTATATAAGTTTACATGAAAAGTAAAGAAAACTTAATAATCCCCTTTGAAGGGGAGTTAGAATGAAAAATCTTGTATCATATTTCTAAGAATGATAAAATGAATTGCAAAGTTAAAATTTTATTTCAAATGTTTTGGCTAGAATTAAGAATATTAAATTTTTTTTCTGAAATTTTAAAATTGAAAAGATTTTTTTTTGTTTTTCCCAAAAAGTCCTTTCGTCAACACAAGCAAGAAGTATTTGAAATCATTTAAATTGGACGCTCCGTTCTCTCAAAAACTACAATTTTTTACACATCTAGCTTTGTATCTCCAAAAGGGCTGGTCCTGCCTTTGCCAAAAACTGGGGGGAAATAATTTCCCCCCATCATTACGAATTTAATGTTTTTTAATCATTCCAATCGGATGCCCGGTTATCGCAAAAATCGAGTTTCTATTTTCTGCACTAATTGCTTTGTATCTCGGAAACCGCTGGACCAACCTTTCCCAGAAACTAATCAGCACTAATCCTTATTAGTAGAAATCGATTGCTATTTCAGATATATCATTCAGATCGGCAAAGTGATACAAAATTTTCGATAAAAAATTGTATATGGACAGACACATTGCATATAGACACACACACATCCTTTTCTTCTGAGGTATGCCAAAATGTTCAGAAGACTTCAAAACGTGAAGATATGCAAAAATGTTCAATTTCAATTTGAACCTATGTAAGTTAAAATGATTTAACTGCATTAAATGAAAATGATACACACCGTTTCCTTCTCTTTTCTTCGATTTCCCATTTCATATGTCTTTTAGCAATAATACTGTCATCTAAGTTTTCAATCCCTTCAACAGAATTTGAACTTGTATATGTTTGGCCACACCATCGCGGAACCTAATGATTTTATAACATTAGAGTAGCATACGTTATAAAAATAAAAAATAAAATTTGACATATTACCTCTAGGATACTACTTTGATCTTTAATTGATACATCTTCTTGTTCTTCTGAACCAAACTCAACATCCCCAATAGCAATATGATATTCTTTACTCGTCATTAGAAGTTCTACAAGAAAATTATTCATTTAGTCATATAATATATATATATATATTATATATATATATATATATATATATATATATATATAAAATTAGTAATATGACAATAAAAAAGAAAAATTTCATTACAAAAAAAAAAATTTATAATATTATTACAAACAATAATCAAATTTTGTTTGCACCAGCAATTTATTCAATTAAATTTTTACTCTTATCCACTTTTAGCAAATATGCAAAATATAATTATTTAATTTGGTCAAGATTTTATTGTTTATTTTATTTGCTTAAAAGCTAATAATCACTAATTATTACATTCAAAGTTTAATCACAAAAAAAAACATAGAAATTACCTCGTATTCTTCTTTTAGGTTCATGATGGTTAAGAAGTTCTGATCCAAAGAACCCAGAATAGTATTATTTTCAATATTTCTTTTCTTAGCCTTCGAACTGCTTGAATCGAGAGAAATTCCTTCTTCACAAAAACTTTTATCCTCAGTTTTAACATTAACAGGTGACAATAAATCTTCCGTTCGTTTTTCTAAGCCTAGTCCACCATTTGTTTGTTCTACATTACTTTCATAATTTAAACCATTATTGAGTGATAGCTCATAATTTGTGTTAATTTTATGTAAAATTATTTTATTGATCAAATTGCCTCCATTTTCACCAATTACACTGGATTCAACAGAGTCATTCACTCCATTGCTTTTGATTACTCTCGATTTATTAGTTTTGTCTTTACTTTTTTCTAAAGAAATTTGGTTATTTGAATGTGTATTATCTGAATTTATTGGACTAAAAACTGTTAGAGACTTTTCTAATGAATTTGATTCCTGCGAATTATTACAATAACCATTAGATAAAAATACTTCCACAGGGGATTGACTTTGCAGTTGTTCTGGACTTTGGCATCTAGTATTTATCCCATTCAAATTATTTCGTTTTGAATACACCCTTCTATCTGTCCGATTTAATTTAGACTTTAACTGCAAAAAAAAAAACAGTTTATATCTGTAGAAAAAATTGACTACGCTTTGGTTTGTGCAATATAAGATAAATATATGTATATATATTTTTCAAGCTACAATTAAATTTGTTTTTGAATAAATAAAAGATGTAATAGTTGAATTAAATTGCATAGAAAAATAATATTCATATTTATTCATTGAGTAAGAAATATGTAATACTTGAAAGTATAGAAAAGTCTATTGATAAGAAGCAAAATACAAAAACACTGATTATAAACAGAAACAGAAATGTCATTGTTATTCATAAACACAATTTCAGTCATAATTTCATTAAATGTAGTTAAGATTGATATGAACTTTATACATAAATTTTGCTTCATGGGTCATTACAATTTTTCTATTATATGTTGAAAATGAATTAAATTATATTTTGCTACTACTTCACAAATAACATAATTCAATATCAACGTTATTAATTCAAAATAACAATATTTTAGTTAATAATAAATGACATAATTATTATGACGTTCTTAACCCTTCTGAATTTAAAAGGTGTTTGTGTTTATTTAAAATTAAATTAATTGAATTAAACAAGTTTTAGGTTATGTATGGCGTCGCTGAACTTACTAAATCGTTTTCTTGCTTAAGCGTTGATATTAATTTGTCTTTTGACAGTAATTGTTCACTTTGCTGCTGAATTAGATCCAAATGCAGCAATAATAAATCCTTTAAATGTCTCACTTCACTAATCGAATTATTAAAGTTATCATTTAGCCGAGAAAACGCGCTAGAGCGTTCTTTATTTTCCACTGCGTTATTAACTTCGCTCTGATCGGAATTCATGTGTGTATTTTCTGTATTGTTTTTTACATTTCCTTCGTTACATGCATAAATATGATCAAACGCATATGACAACAAATTATCCTTTTTTCTCGAATTGCTTAATATTTGCAATGTTTTGCTTCAAACTTCCAACTTTAACACTTGTATTGTGATTCATGTTAGCGTCCGTATTGATGCCGATATTCGAGCTGTCAAAACTAGGGTGCCTAATTTTTCCATGCATGTGTTTTTGTATTACTCTCAAAGGATTTCCACAACGCAAAAATGTACCTTAGAAGATCACAAATCTCAAAGTACTTTCATATAATTTTAAAGCACTGACATATCATTGTAAGCCTATAATAATAAATTATAATGAAAAACTCAATGGATGCCAAAAATTTGTTACGCACGACATGTTTGTAGTCAGTGTTGCCATGTCTACAGTTTTAACTGTAGATCTACAGTTTTTTGGGAATGATCTCAGTTTTGCAGTTTTGGGCTCGAAATCTACAGTTTTTTTGCTGAAGATGTTAGCGCCGTTTATTTTATTTGTTATGCAGAACTTAGTGGCAGTTGCACTGAGTCAACTTCAACAAAACTACTATTGTTAAACTAGAGGTAATGGTCATCGATTATTTTAATAGTATACGCTAATATGAGAAACTCTATAGCTCATGCTTGACTGTCAACGCAAAGAAAAACGGCGTGACTAGCGGCGAAAAGCGAAATGCTATCCGTTTATCTCTCGTTAACTTAACTAACCAACCTTTCTGTTGTTAAATATTTTCCTTCTGTAAGTCATTTCTTGTATCTGTAAGTCAATCTAAATCGATTTGTCGACACAAAAAATAGATTGTTAAAATTAAAGTTGAAAATCAACTGGTTTGTTAATGCGTTGGAAACATATTGTTATCAAATAGTCATATTTTCAACATTTACGAATGTAATATATAATCTAAACTAGTGGGGTGTATGCATACATGGCATCGTGCCTTAAGGCAAATTGCTGGAACTTCCCGTATCGTAACAAAATGATCGAGGAATATTAAATGTTTTAGAATAGATTATTATAAATATTGTAACAATGTCTATTTATATTTAAAAGAATTATATAAACTAAATTGGAAAGTTGAAATTATTTGTTTAAAGTATATTAGAACAGAATTAAAATAAAAATCTGAATTATTTTCGATATACAAAAAAAAATTTTTTTGAAAAAAAAAATTTTAAAAAAATTTTTGAAGCCAGAATCAATTATTTTGTTAAAACGAGCAAAAAGTTTTTGGAATCATCCAAATCGGACGCTTAGTTCTCTCAAAAACTGCCATTTTTTGCACATTTAGCTCTGTATCTTCGAAACCGCTAGACCTGCCTTTGCCAAAAACTAATCACCCCTTCTCCCCGTCATTACGAATTGAATGGTTTTGGGATCATTCAAATCGGACGCTTCGATCTCTCAAAAACTCGATTTCTATTTTCTGCACTCTTCGCTCCGTATCTCCTAATCGGCTGGATCTGCCTTTGCCAAACACTAATCAGCACATCTCCCTATCAATAGGAGTCGAATGTATTTTGAACCATTCAAATCGGTTGATCCGTGCGCCCGAAAACGAGGACAAAAATTGTATCCATACATACATACACACTCACACACACATACCATTTTATGTGAGGTATGCTAAAATGTTCAGAAACCTTCAAAACGTCGAGAAATGTAAAAAATTTTATTTCGATTTTTGGCCCATTACAATAACTTACCCTACACGAAGTTAATAATCAATATTTTAAATAAAATTATTCATTGCATTTTGTTTCGTTTAATACTCAACTAGTTTAAGTTTGATTCAAATCTACCTTTATTAATAATAACATGAAATAATAAATAATTAATGAAGTATACAATATATTGTGTAAGCTACGATGGAAAACTTATATTCAAGAATTATCGCTTTTTGATAGGTAACGATGTTTGGGATGAATGAATATAACAAAACCGTTAGAGATCATTATTGCTTTCAACTTTTTTTTTTCAAAAATACCACTAATGTTATATTTTGTTAGTTGCTATAAATATTCTATTATAACTATATAATATTACCCTCATTTAATGATAAAACTGTAGATTTACAGTTTTTCAATTTGAATCTACAGTTTTCTACAGTTTTTTTCTGGTCTATCTACAGTTTTTCTCTATGGTGGACCTGGCAACACTGTTTGTAGTACGAATATGAATATACGCAATATGAAAGTAAGCAAATGAAGCCGTGAAGTTAGCTGCATATAAAATAACGCGCCATGGCGCTTTTCAAGGCCGTTTTCTCGTTACCCCAATTTGAAATTTGTAAATGTAAACATTTATTAGAAGAAAATTTTTCTATATAAATATATATTTTATTTATACATTTTCTTTGAGTATTCAAATTTTTTTACAAACATTTAAAAAAAAGCAAATACTGTGAAAGAAATTGTAATGTTTTTTCACTGTTTTGTTGACTAAGTTTTTCTAGAAGGTCTTTTGTCTTTTAAAATTGTTTTTAATAGTATTACTGATATTTTAATATAGCTACTAGTATTTTTTTAAATAATGTTAGTTGTTTTTTCATAATCTTTTAGTTTTTTTATAAAGTTTTTCTAAAAAGTCCTTTAACTTTTAAAATTGCTTTTTATTATTGTTATTAGTGTTATTTCAATATAACTATTAGTAATTTAAAAAATAATATATATTGTTAGTTGTTTTCTTCATAATCTTTTATACATTTATGTTTTTCTTTGGTTTTGTTTCATATTATTATCATATTTATAAAATATCTACTACTCTTACTTACATACTATCCTTTACTTTTTTTACTGTAATAACTTTAAATGTATATAAGTCTTGAGATTTAACTCATAAAGTATAAAAAACAAAAACTGTTTTAAAACATTCAAATGCTTGTTTATACTTTAATATAATCATATTAGTATTTTTCTTGGTTAGTATATAGAATTTCATATTTCATATGATTCTCAAAATGTACAATGTAACCCTTTCCACTCGCGAATTCCGAGATTTATATGAATTTTGTCGCCGGAGCGGCGGCATTCGAGTGAAAAGGGTTAAAAATAAATATAAAATCTCAATTTTAACATATTGGTTGTTAATTCTAATAATGATGTTATTAGAATGAAATAAAAACTTTAAAAATGATAAAGATACCTCATATATCATACAATAATTGTTTCCAATAAATTTAGCTCAAGATTACAGTTTTATATATTTTTTGAATACAATTGTATTCCTAAATCCATGATTTATATTTTGCAATAATTTAAAGAGACAAATTGAAAATTCCATAGTGATTGATTTTTGCAATAGACCATCCATCAACAGCTTTAAATAACCACCTACAAGTTTTTTTTTTAAAAAACACATACAAAATTAAAATTCAAAAATATTACTTATATTATTTTTTATATATTTAATTTATGGTTTATACATTATCTGATTGGTATCTGAACAGAACCTTCATCTAAATATATAATAAAATTTATGATGTTTTTGTCCATATACCACTATCACCCATATCAGCATTGAATCCTTTTTCATATTTCATTCCAGGT